CTTAACCAAACCCTACTACCGTTTTGTGCAATGCTGGGTCTTAGTCTGCAGCCATGTGACTAAATGAGGATCTTTAAACCAGAAAGAGGGAGGTGCTTGGAGAGTGCGAACTGCTGTTTACAATTTATGCATGGTGACGATAAGAATGTTACTCCATGATGTTCTTAGAGCCCCATTAATTTTTGGGCTGAGCATTTATGTGGTTTTGCTGGCTGGCAGCTGCAGGAAGCACAGTGCCCATCTTGCTTGGTTTAAAGCCTTTGAGATCAATGGTGGCTAAATGTGCTTTCAGGAGCAGAATTTAATCGGCTGGGAGTGGGTGACTATTGAATTCAGTGACTGCAGCAAGACTTTCCCCCACTCTCCTCTTTGTGGAGACATTGTTTGCACAGCGTGTCTTCCATAATCAATACAAGGGCGACATTAATGAAGAGAATCGCTTGTTTGGCAGACAAAGCTTTCCCTTTGTTGGGATTGAGATGCTCAGTTAATTTCCTGGGAGTGGATTTATGAGAAGTTGGGTTGTGATTCTTGTAAGTGTATGTGAGGTTCTTGAATTATTATTATTTTTTGAAACTGAGGAGTCAACAATCTGTTGTGTTATTGTAAACTGTTTGGTAGCTTGTAATTTGAGGAATGTACTCATGAGAGTCCTAGTTTTGAAAATTTGGGAAATTGGTACATACTCGAAAATGGGTGGGTTGTGGGGCTTTTGGGAAGGAGCACTTTAAACAGGTACATCTCACTTGAAAAAAAAAAAAAAACTCCAAAAGCATTTTGTTTGAAATTACCATAAATCAAAGCATTATGGGACATGAATCTTCTAGACTTTGTGTGTGGCATTTCGTTGAGAAAAAGAAGCTGGACAAAAATGCCAGAGAGGTTTGGCACCACCCTTGGTTGAATCTTTCTCCACTCTCTAGGAGTCTTATAGCCTAAATTCCCTTCCCTCTTTAAGAGGAATTTTCACCTGTCATGTTTAATGATAGAATCTCCTCTTTCTCCTCCCAGTGTTCCTCTCACCTCCCTTCAGGCAAGCAACTGACTTGCTTCTTTGTGTTGCTTGGGAAATTCGGTTTGTGAGTCCCACTTGTGGGGCTGGCCAGCAAAACTTCTTGGGAACTAGGATATCGAGATGTCCACTCCTGCCTTCCTGCTTTCCCTGGGAGAAGGGTCGTGCTGCTCGTCACCATTGTGCCTTGCGGGCTTTCTCCGGTGTCTGCCCACTTTCATTGAGTTTGCGTCCACGTGATGTTTCCGTAAGTGCAGTTGGCAGTCAGTGGCATAGCTGGACCAGGCACGGCCAATTTCATGGCTTTTTTAGTTTGTTGAATGTTATGCTACCTCATCTTGGTCTTGAAATGGTTTTGAAAAATAATGCTTTGTAACTGAAATGTTCTGGTTGGTGAGTTTTCTGGTCAATGGAAGGGAATGAGCTTGGGTAGAGTCTGCGACCACAAGCGAGTTATTTATCCTTGCTGAGCGTCAGTTTCTTCACTTAGAGGCTTGGTGTGCTGTAGCTTTCCTGGATGGGGTTGCTGGGAGAATATATCCAAGGTTCCCCAACTATACCGCACATTTGTAGGACTCAGTAATGGTAACTGCAGTCATCCCTTGGTGTCTGTGGGGGACGGGCTCTAGGACCCTCGTGGATACCCAAAGCCAAGGATGCACAAGTCCTATAAAACGGCATAGTGTTTGAATACATACACACATCCTCCTGTATACTTTAAATCATCGCCAGATCACTTATAATACCCAATATGATACAATGTAAATGCTATAAAAATAGTTGTTATACTGTGTTGTGTTTGTATTTGGATTATTTTGATTGGTCTTTTTCCTCCAAAATATTGTTGCTGTTGGTTGAATCTGTGTTTACAGAACCCCCAAATGCAGAGGGCTGACTATACTCCTAATTATTATTATTATCGTAAGGGAGGGTTTCGCTCTCTCACCCAGGCTAGAGCGCAGTGACGTAGTCATAGCTCACTGTAACCTCAAACTCCTGGGCTCAAGTGATCCTCCTGCCTCAGCCTCCCAAGTAGCTGAGACAATAAGCACATGCCCCCATACCCTGCTGATGTTTAGATTTTTTTCTAGAGACGAGGCCTTGCCATGTTGCCCAAGCTGGTCTTGGATTCCTGGCCTCAAGTGATCCTCTTGCCTTGGCCTCTCAAAGTGTTAGGACACCTCGTCCAGCCATGTACTGTTGATTGTTATGAAGGTATGCAAAATCACTATCGGTTAGAAGTTTAAAATGTCTGGGGTGGAAATAAAGTGAAATAGAATATCAGAGATGGTGATTTTCTGGTATGATTTTAATTTGTAGTGATCTATAGGATTCTTCTGGAGGCAGATTCATCATAACTGGTACCTGTGATACATTTAAGATTCCTGAATTTACAGATTAAATTCCATAAATATTTATTATTGCATGCCTATGCTATCCCAGGTGCTGTGCTCAGACCGTTTGGTTAAAAAGGTAGGACAAGGTTAACAAAATAAGACAGGATATTCTCCCTCCCAGGCCTTATCCTTGTGACCCTCTGCCCAAGTTTGCCCTTCTCAGTCCTATTTCCTGCTGTGGTCCTGGGCCCCTTTTGTTTTCAGAAGTGTCCTGGTTTGGGAGCTAATTTTATATATGTTCGCCAATACAGGCTATTACTGAGACAGAGGGAGTCCTTCCAGAAAAGCACTACTGAAGTTCTCTGAACAGGAGAAGCAAGGAGGACGGTGAAAGCTATTTCTCAGGGATTTGAATTCAGGCTAGATGGTTAGTTATAGGACCAGAGAGGCGGAGACAGAGGGGAAGGCATTTTGGAGCTGGAATAAGCCACACACTACCAATGGGATGGACAGAACCCAACTGGAGATGCTACCTTAAGTTTCACAGTGTGATGAACCTGCTTCAAATGGCAGCCTTTTTTGTTTAGGTTTTACCAATCAGCATGGCCTAGATGTTTGCACTGAGACCCTAACCGTTAGGCTTTACTTTTTTTGCCTTAAAAATTCCCCAGGAAAGGGATTTTGGGAGCAGGGAGCGATGATGGAGGGGGTTACCACTTGCAAATCAGACACTGAGCTAGGTTGTTGGTTTTTATGGCCATTTCCTTTTGGAGTCTTGGCATACAAGTCTAGAGGGCTGGAGCTCAGGGGTACTTTTGCATTTTTTGCCAGTGCTTCAGCATGACCTGATTCCTGGGGGGAGTGGGCCAGGGTAGTTAACCCTTCCTTGACTTAGTGTTTGAAAGTGGAGGGCTTCATTTGCTTTTCTGTTCTGTGTCTCACACATACTGAGAGCATATTGGTTGCAGTAGATTTGGGGATAGTTACACAGTGACATATATGTTCAGAGGTTATTGCTACATTCATAAACAAGGGGAATGCAATTTAGATTTCTTAGATTGGAGATGTGAATTTTTTCTCCCAGAGTGTTTGCATTTGGTTTGAGTGTCTTAATTACCATTCAGGGAACATTCATGAAATTAAGGTAGGAAAAAAAAAAAGAGTCCGTCCTGGCTTAGACATTAACATATAACCCCTGCGTGTTTATTACGAAACCTTCACCCTTAGGATTCTCATTTGCAATCCTGGGCAGCACAACCAATTTTCTGAGTCATTAACTTTTTCCTGTAACACCAAAGGGCAGGAGGGTGCTGGGCTCCACAGCTTCTTTCTCCAAGGCAAGTTGAACAACCATCTGTGCCATGAAATGGATGAGGCACAGTTGCCCTCTTGTTCATTTGGTATTTGTGTTTGTGTACAAGAATCTTTACTGATTCCGAAGGTCCATTTACTGAAATACTCCCTGCTAATTCTTGGAATCGATGACGCATTGATTGAGCTCTTTGTATCTGTTATCGACAAGGTTTTGAGACAGTCTGTTAAGTGCAGAAAGAATTCTAGTAGTAGAGTCAGAAGGCCAAGGCTCGGTGACCTTGGCTAAATCACCTTGGGCCTTCATTTGCTCAGAGGTCAGCTGGGATGTGAAGAACCAACCTCCCAGGTTGTTAGGAGGATGGATGACATGCTGATCGTGAAAGGACCTGGGCCTTCGTAATGTGGTGTGGTAATTCAATAAATCCTCTAAATCCATGAAGACCTAGAACAGGGATGGGCAAACCATGGTGCATTGATTGGCTGAATCTAGCCCATCTCCTGTTTTTGTACAACCCTTGAGCTAAGAATCGTTTTTTATATTTTAAAATGGTTGAAAAAAACCAAAAGAGGAAGACTATTTCCTGACCCAGGAAAAGTCTATGAAATTTAAATGTCAATGTCCTTAAATAAAGTTTCGCTGGAACTCAGCCATGCTCACTCATTTGCGTATTTTCTGTGCCACTTTCATGCAACAATAGCTGAGTTGAATGGTTGCTCCAGAGGTTGAATGGCTCACAAAACTGAAGATATTTATCTGGCCCTTTGTGGGAAAAATTGTCCCAGCCCCCTGTGTAGAGCAGTGGTTATTGTAGCAAGATGAACCGGGTTGTACACATAGTTCTTTTCCAAAGTTTTTGCTAAAAAACTTTGGGGAAGCTAAAGCTCTCAAATTCCCATGGAAGGACTCTAAGCTGTTTCATTCATTCTTATTTCACCAAGTGTCTATTGAGTTCCTGCTATGTGCCAAACACTATTTGGGGTGGTGAGAAAAAAGCAGTAAACAACATGGGAAAATCCCTGCCCTCCTGGAGCCTACAGGAGGGAGATCATTCATGAATAAAAGTACCTGGATGGTCGGGAAGAGGAGGTGAGTTGTGAGCCCTGCATGATGGGGGTGGGAGCCAGGGAGTGCTGCTCAGGCAGAGGGAAAAGCAAGTTCAAAAGCCTTGGTTGGGCCAGGTGTGGTGAGGCCTGTAATTCTAACACTCTGGGAGGCTGGAGGTGGGGAGGATCGCTTGAGCCCAGGAGTTTGAGGTTGCAGTGAGCTATGATGACACCATTGTATTCTAGCCAGGGCAACGCTCCCAGAAAGGGGACAGAAAAAAAAAAAAAAAAAAAAAAAAAAAAAAAAACAAGCCTTGGATGGAAGCATTGGAGAAGTTCAAGGACAGCAATGTGCACAGAATGGTATTTTGTGTTTTTAATTTTCAGCATTGGCTTCAGAACTGTGCTAATCTGATTTATGGTCCTGTTAAAAAAATTTATGGTTCTTTTTAGGCACATTAGAAAACAAGAAGGGAGACAATGTCATGCCTTGGAGAAGAGAAGTCTGGGCAGATAAGAGTTGAAGCTCAACTCTGGACAGATTGACATTCAGGGCTGAATAATTCTTTGTCGAGAGGGGCTGTCCTGTGCACTGTAGGAGTTTAGTAGCATTCCTGGCCTCTACCCACTAGACACGTAACCCTAGGTCCAGTCATGATTGCCAAAAATGTCTCTCCAAACAATGTTACGTGTCCCCTTGAGGCAAAATCGCCCCCTTTGAGAACCACTGCTCTGGCATGAGGCTGCTTCCTAGCTCTGGGACTTTGGGCAAGGGAACCTAACCCCTCTGGGCCTCAGTTTTATCATCTGTAAAGTGAATGCCTTTACTGCACTTGCAGCCCTAGGAGTGTCCAGAGGACTAAGGGGGTGTGCAGCCAGCACTCAGCACAGGGGCTGGTGTAGCCCACGCCCTTGGTAATGTTAGTTGAGAGAGCAGAGAGCCTGGCTTTCCTTTTCTCTCTTTAACCCGATCATCAACAGAGAGCACAGTGTCTGTTCATATCTTGGCGAGAAGTGGATTTATATGATTTGTATGATTGGCCCAGATCCTTGTGTTAAAATTCAAGCTACCAAAATTGTCAACTGTGCAATTTTTCATTGCACTTTTTCTCTTAATAATCACCCTCCCCTATGCGTAGCTGCTATTTGACAATTTGCAGATTGACCTGTGAAACAATGAGGTGGACGTCATTTCTTCCACTTTTAGGCATGGTTGGAAATGAGGGGCCTGAGGGCTTAATAAACACACCTGAGGCCCCTGAGTTCACCCCCTCCGGCCCATCTGAACCTCCAGCCCATCTGAACCCCGAGGAAGAGAGTTGTGCAGATAAAATAGCTTTTATGCTGTTCCTCTGCGGCTCCCTGTTAACATATCATCTGCTTAAATCAGCTTCTTTGCCTGGAGGAGCCCCTGGGGTGTGCTGACACCTAAGTCACCATCAGCCAAACTAACGGAGAGGGACACCCCCCTGTAAAGGGGAGGCAGACACCGGCCAGCCTGGCTTTTCCTCTCCCGGCTGGCTCAGGACACCGAGAGGAAGGGGCACATGAGGAGGGCCCGAAAGAAACGGCTTTGTGAGTCTGGGTTGTGTGTTGGGCTCGTTTGGGTTCATTTCCTCCCCTCTGCCCCTGTCCTGTGCCTGAGCTGGTCGTGGAGCAAAATGTCCCTACTGGCTCCTCCTCCTAGAGTTACGGATGGTAAAGAAGCAATAACTAGCGTTGCTGAGCACTTGGTACATACTCTAAGCACTCGACAAGCATTCCCTAGATTCCCCCGCTCAGACTTCTCCATCACGGCTCTTATCGCCACTAAAGACGGGGAAGAGAGTCCCTAGTAGCTTCCCCAGGCCGAGCAGTTGAGTAATTTGGGGAAGCTGGAATTTGATCTCTGCAGCCTTTTTTTCTTTTACGAAATCTTGGATGTGCCATGAAAGGAGCCTAAAGGATTCTCCAGCGAAGTTAAAACTGCACCCCAAAGCTCAGCACCTGGGGCATTCCTGGCTCCACCCTCGGAGCCCTTCATTGCGTCCACTCTCGGAGGAGTCGCTGGAAGCCAGTTTAATCCCCGTCTGCCTGAGCGACGGAGCGGCAAGCGACCGACATCCTCCTGGGAGCGATTGTCCACGGTGCCAGGGGCGTCGGCGCTGGAGAAGCAGGCTGTGGTGCCCGGCGTCCGGGCCCCGCCCGCATCACCCTTCCGAGCGCGGAGCCCCCCTCCCTCGGATGTGCGTGGAGCTCCCTGGGGGTCGGGATCTGCTGCCGACTGGGATCCCGCAGGCCTGGCCTGGTGCCCGAGTCCGCATGCGCGGCCTGCGCCGACGGGTGCCGAGACGCCGTCTGCGGCCGCGCCGGCGTTGCCGGTTCCAGACGCCGCCGCCCTCACCCCACTTCAGAGGCCGAACCGAATTCTTGGAAGAGGAATTTTGCCTCAGAAGAGATTTGGGGGACCAGGCCCTAGGAAGAATTCCACCTTTTGAGGGGAGTGTGGCGTCAGCGTGGTAGAAGAGAATGACAAGGATGTGGCGTCATGTAAGCCGACTGCCGGTGAGCTGGGCGAAACTAACCCAGGCACTCGTCTTGGTCCCTTCTCTTGGTGGGGTGGCCAACCTTTTTTTGGAGACTCACTATGTGTCAGGGTCTTTTTCCACCGAGGAGCTCTGGATCACTTTGGACCTAAGGTCCCTTTGGCAGTGAGAAGTGCCCTCATCTGAGCCAGGACCCCCTTTGGGCCATTCATCTGTACGCCGGGAGTCCCTGCGTCGGAGGGCAGACTGGGATGGCACCCACATTTTCATGCTGTATTTCTTTCGTTAGGCATATGCATTTTTGGAGGCCTAGTAAGGGATATTCAGAGGTTTGTCGATTGCCTCTGTGCCAGATTGAACGGGACTCTGATAAAGACCCAGGCAGGGAGAACATCTGTGCATCGTGTCCTGCGAAACACTTAGAAGGACCCTAGACAGATTCGCTGTCACAGCTAACGCACCCTGGACTTGTCCCTGGCTGTGCACATGGCGGCTTATGAGAAGAAAATGGAGACGAGGAAATCATGTGTGTATCACTCTGCAGGAAAAACACTTCAGGTAATGAGACAGGATTTGAGGATTTGAGCGGGAAGGCGATTATAACCGAACCCTTCACTCATTTTCTACAAAATAGTCAACACGCAGCCTCCCAAGCTGTGTCATGAATGGAGCATCCATCAGCTGGGACGCGGGGAGGGTTTATTTTTTATGTGTGATCTGATATTAATTTGCCTTAAACAAAAGAAGCAGTTTACTGTGTAATTCTGAGGTTTATGATGTTTCCATGAAGTTCTTTCATTTTTTAGAAGATGGCTTTATCATTTTAATAGAAACTATTATTTTCTTAAAATCTCTCTCTCTCTTTTTAACACTTTCTTCTCTTCCATCAAATTATAGAGTTGGAGCTAATGTCATAATGAGCTCTGAGGCCTGGGGCTGAACTCCCAAGTTGTGTGTGTGCTTCTTTTTTTTTTTTTTTTTTTTTGAGACAGGTTCTTGCTCTCTTGCCCAGGCTAGAGTGAGTGCCGTGGCGTCAGAGCTCACAGCAACCTCAAACTCCTGGGCTCGAGTGATCCTTCTGCCTCAGCCTCCCGGGTAGCTGGGACTACAGGCATGCGCCACCATGCCCGGCTAATTTTTTTTATATATATATCAGTTGGCCAATTAATTTCTTTCTATTTATAGTAGAGACGGGGTCTCGCTCTTGCTCAGGCTGGTTTTGAACTCCTGACCTTGAGCAATCCGCCCGCCTCGGCCTCCCAAGAGCTAGGATTACAGGCGTGAGCCACAGCGCCCGGCCTGTGTGTGTGCTTCTTTTCCTCATAACAGTACCAGCCCTCAGTAGAGATGGGGCACAATACTTTTTGTAGACAAAAATGGTGTTTGTTAACCAGGGGATTTGAGCCTTCACAAATTGTCCTCGATGCAGGTTTTTGTACTTTATGTATGCCATTCAGCCACACTATCCATTATAGACTTCCTTTAAGGAATTTCTAGGAAACCCCCTTACCGTAGGGTACAAATGAATGTTTTTGTAGTTTAATGACAGCAGTTTTGAAAGGAAGCACCTTTCAGACCATTATCTAAAGCCAACTTCCTTTGAAACTAGAAGAGGGCATCGTTCAGTAGATGGAAATCTGCCCCAGCACGTTAAAATTCATCTGTGCCTTGGTGGAGCCATGTGCTGGGCCGTGACCTCAGAAGAGAGTTTCGGTTTCGGGGGGTCAGGTGCGGGTATCTGTAGGAAAGCGAGTAGAATGCCTTTCTCTTACGGCTGTCATCACACACGCCCAATTCCAAGTCTCTCCTAAGTAGCCTCCTCCCCGCCTTCCAGCAGGGCGACCTCGGGGAGCCCGTCATTATGGCCCTGCTTGATGGATAATTACCAGTTCCGAGACTTGATGCGACACCAGCATTTTGCATGATAGCCTGTTGGATGTGCTTGGCTCAAATTGATATTTTCATTCCTCTAAGGCTGCAGTGTGGAAACATGGTTGCAGCGGGGTTTGCCGGGGTGGGAAGATTTCCTGTGCTGTGGCAGGACCGGGCAGCTGTTCTGAGAGCTGTTTCAGCAAAGCCTTCGCAGTTGGTTTCGTTGAAGGATTTTCTGCAGGTGCAGTGCGGGGTTGGTTCCTAAAGGACAGTAGTCTGGTTTTCCTTGGACACTACGTGTGTGTGTGTGTGTTTAATTTAGGAGGCACAGCTGTACAAGGGACATTGGGGGACGGGGTGCAGGAGCATTGGTGCTCCTTGTGCCTTAGCTGTCACTTCTACACGCTGCCATCAGAACTGAACAAGGGTGCAGGGCTGTCATCAGGGTCTGTTGTCTCTCTGCACAGCCGAGCTACAGGCAGTAAGGGATGAAGTAGCAAAAAGTTCTTATTGCTCATCTGCTGGGAGGCTTCCAGCCAGTCTCCGAACTGCTGCACGTCACGTCAGTTTCTTTCTCTGTCCAGTGGGCCTGATAGATAGTACCTGCTCTCTTTTTCTCCCAGGGTCTTACTTGCCATGTAAAATAATCGAGAAGCAAATGCTTTATAAGCCATAAAGGAATGGATGTGAGTGCATTGTGAGAGGCAGTGCAGCCCGGAGGGTAATGATGAGTTTGCCAAGTAGGAGTAGCTGTTGTTGGTATCAGAAGGACCAGTGAGTACATGGTAGTAGTTAGGAGGGGCGAGTACCACCGCTGCAGCTACTTAGCCAGTTGTGTAAGGTGTTTTTTTAAATTATATTTTAAATTCTGAGTCTACCATGGGACAGATGGTTCCATAGAGCTTGTTGAAGGGGATTCTCAGGATGAACTAATTTTGTTCAGTGATAGATCTTTCTCCTGGGGCTCGACCCTGGCCGTGTACAGGATAAGCCCTGTGCTCTGGGCCAGTGCAGTGAAGCATGCTGTGGATGGAACTAAATCCGTCCGGCGGTGGTAGGGGGAGGTTTCTGAAATCCCCTGAGAGTCCTCGGCCTGTGCACGTGTCTGCTCAGGAAGCCAGACCGTCTGCGAGCCGCAGTGCTCGCATCTGCTCCCGCTTCTGCTCTCTGGCCTCTGAAGCGTGTGGCCCTTTTGTTTTGAAGTTGACTGATTCCTTTGGGATATGTGAGTCTAGGGGGCAAAGAATTGAACATATTCTGAATGTAGATGGTGGATTATTTTCATCTGTTTAGGGAATCCAGCATCACTTAATCAGACATGTTTTTTTCTCCCTGCTGCCTTCATTAAATAATAGTAATACTAATGAAAAGATAATGTTGATCTCAGTGTCCTGGTTCCCAGTGTGGTCCCACTCAGTTTGTTCAATGAGCGAAGGAATGGCTTGGAGGTCCATAGAGGAAGATTTGGAGATTTCCCATTAGATTCGAGTCTACCCTGGTGGAACCTTTAAGGCAAACGCTCTTTTTCTCCAGGTCTCCACCCTTCCTTTACCCAGGTAACTACCTTCTTTTGACCTGCCCCCATTCTCCAGTGCACGTCCACGGCAGGTGAGTGTGGGCAGATAGGATCCCATGCAGGTGGGTTTTTCTCCCTTCTACGGCTTCTCAGTGGTCTGCATTTGGGGATTAAATCCCCCTGCAGACTTTGTCCTGCCAGCCTGGATTTCATAGATTGCCAGAGGTAGCAGGAAATTCAAAGGTGATCTTGTTCCACCTCTTCATTTTATAAACTCAAGCCAAGGTGAAGTGACTTGCTGAAGAATACAGACTTAGTGGGGTGGCCAGGTAGAGATCTAGGTCTCCTGCTGCCCAGCTCTGGCCCAATTCCAGGGAGATGACCGTGGCTTCTGCCCAAAAGCATCCTGGGCAGAAATGGTGTTGTCCGTCTAAGTGAACAAGGACTGGATGGAGACACACCGCATCAGGGTGTCAGAGTATGTCACTTTGTCTCTGTGGGAGGTCGTAGTCGTTCTTTGATTCTTTGGACACCACTGAGGGAAATGGATTTCAGTCCACAGTCTGATTGAAATGGGCCTCTCCCTCCCCCAGCGTGGTGAGTTGTGTCTTGTTTCTCTGCCAGTGGACATCTTCTGCCTTTGTCCCCTCTCCTGGCTGCCGAGTGGGGCACCCAGGCAGGGGCAGGCTGAGCTTCAGGCTGAAGAACTTGTTTGGCCTAGTTTCTGTTGGTGGTGAAATCCCAGACAGGATCTGAGCACTCTCCCTGTGCCCGGAAAATTCGAGTCTACTGGAGCTTATACAATTGGGGTGTCTGTTTCCACTAGCATTTCTTTCCCAGCTACATTAAATGATAATATGAAATTAAATCAAGACATTCCTTGTACCAGCACCAGCTTTTCAGATACATTTGTCTCTGTATTCTAGTATTCGCTTTGGCTCAGAAGGGAATTTTTTTACGCAATTTAAGAGCACAGTGAAAACTTTCTTGGGAAAGCTGAGGAATTTCAAACCTCCTTAGTTGTGTGAACTCGGGCAAATCAGTGTATCTCACTGAGCCTTGTTTTTCCTATCTGTAAATGGGTACAAAGTGTGCCAGCCTCGAAGATGTTATAAGGATCACATGAGAGTATACGGTGTGTGGAATATACCTGGCTCAGTGTCTGGTTCTTAGGGGGCCTACACATGGGGGCAGGAGCTTTCAGGTCAGCTTTTTCCCTGGGAGATCAGTGTAGGTGTATTGCAAAGGTTCTCAAGCAGGCTGATCATCAGAATTACCTGGGGGGGGGGGGGCTTTAAAATACTGCCACCAGCAGCGCCAGGTACCTGGGCCCCTGAGACCGCCCTAAGTCTCCAGAGGAGGGCTCAGCCTTTCATCGTTTTAAAAGACCCCCCACCTCCAAGGGTCTTTTGGATTCCCAGCCACATTTGGGAACATCTGCAGGATGGGTTTTAATTTTTTTCTAATCATCCTTCAATAAAGGTAAAATGATGGTATGGTATAAATGATTTGAGGATTTAAATATTCTGGTCATTTTTTTTTCATGCTCAGTTTGGGCTCTGTGTTCACAGCAAGTTATTTTTATTGGTTGGGATGGGGGGTGGGAAAGGCAGACAGTTAAAAAATTGTCTAATAAGAGAAGCTGTGATGCTTGACTAATTAGAAATGGATAATTTGTTCCTTAAATGGACATTCTTCAGAGTATAAAGACAACAGGATTATCTCTGTTCAGATCACCATTGGGTTCACTTCTAGACACAGAAGTTTGTGTTTGAGAGGGCTTTAAGATGGAGTAGGTCCGTTTGCAGTTTCTCATCTGTTTCCAGGTGTGGAGGAGGGGTTTCTTGTCTTTCACTTTCTGTCTCCCTCCCTCCTTTTCTGGCTGGCCCGGGACTGGAAGAACTCTTATCACTTCTTGGAAGCCCCACATGCTTTGGAGTCAGGGAAGCCAACTTAAATTCTGGCTGCAATCCTTAAATGGCTGGAAATTTCACAAAGATGGGATCTATTCCCAGCTTGGATACCCAAGTACCTAGGTATAACCAGGCACTCAATTTGAGGCCCCAGATATTTTTGTTGAGCAAAGATGAATATATCAGAGTAGGGTGCAAAAAAAAAAACAAAACAAACAAAAAACACCCTAAATCAGGAAACATATACACTTCCACTT